AGAGCAAATTGAATGGGATTTACATATAGCCTCTGTATTATTAGCTTACCGTACTGCTCAGCAATCTACTACTAAAATGACTTTATTTTTGTTAATATATGAAGGAGAAGCGAAGTTACCCCTAGATGATCATGTTGATCAGAAAAATAAAAATTTGATAGATTGAATTTGACAAATTATAGAAAAACTTCTAGATATTAGAGAAAAAGCTAAACAGACAATGATCGTCATAAAAAATAAACAAAAGACAGCTCATGACAAACATCTGACTAAACCAATGTCATTTGACATAGGACAAAAAGTCTTGTATTTTGATATTGCACGAATTAATCAGTTCTCAGGAAAACTAGAGCTAAAATGGAAAGAACCTTATAGGATTCATGAGATTTTGATCAATAGATCTTATCGTTTAAGAGAAGAAGATGGATGCCTCCTTGCCAAACCAATAAATAGTGATCTACTAAAAAGTTACTTTGATCGATGGTCATGGGAACCACAAATAGTGATTGACATATGAGAAAATATATAAAGGTTGTTATTCTCCATTAGTATCAGTTTTGCAAAAATGTATGAAATTTTACAAGACGTAATGCAAATAGAACTATTACATATTCAAGAATATTACCATCCCTATCAACCTACAGATGATTCTAGGACAAAAATGAGAATTATTCAAAGAAATTATTGACGAACAAAAGTGGCCAGAAATAGAATTGGAATGTTAATAAACATGTATTTCGCTGGAGAACTTTTAGATTTTCTAGAAGATATTGATTACAAACAGGCAAAATTAGTTTTGAATCCATATCAAAGAGAGTTGCTGTAAAGACTTTTATGATATTTCAAGAATTAGGAATATCGCAACTTTATCGAACTAAAGTTTTGACCACTTGGCAAATACAATGATTAACAAAAAGTAAAATACAGGATCTTATTTTGAGGGCGAAATCCTTTCTCACTACTACGTTCGAAATTCAAGTTGGAGGAGGATTGTCAACGGAAAAAATTGCAACTCCAAATATCACGTGGGATCTATCGATCAATAATGATCTCACATTAGATGATGTCACTGCTGTGCCAAACAGTGATCAGCAATAATTTTTGTTTCGCCTGACATGCTTGTTTCTTCTGTATTTTCTAAACAGTCTGTTTAATCTGTTTACTTTATTACATTTATAATTTCTTTAATGTTTATAATTTATTTTGTTTCTTTTTATTATTTTTATAATTTATATTATTTTTATTATTTTATTATATTTACATATATTTTTATTAGGATATATATTTATATTTAGTTAATTTATAATGTAGCAAATAGTTAGCTATAGTAAATTCATTTTGTATAAATAGAATAGCTTTTTGCTTAAGTTGTAAATTAACTCAATTGTAAGTCTATAAACTCCTTTGCAAGTTTATAAACTCATCTGTAAGTTTCATATGAGTTTCAAGTTATAAATAAAGGAATCAATTTAAATCTACACAAACTACTTTTCCCTTCAATGTTGTCCTTCACCTAAGATTGTTGTGATATACTACACTAACTTGCTATTGAGTTCATCATTACGAGTTCAATTAATCATATCTTAATTTCTAAGACATGATAAATTGCCAAGTTGATTCAAGTATAACGGATACCTGTAGGACTTAGAGAAAATCCTAAGGTCGAAAACTCCAATGTGTAGAATCAGCTGCCGCAGCCTTTTAACTTAGACATTAAGATAAACGAAAACGAATCCGGTGACAATATAGATAGATCTCTTTCAGCTCTAATTACAGTAGATTGTAAAATGGAATTAGGATAGATTTGCCCAAATTCTAATAGAAATCAACTAATTTCCTTTAAGGAAGCAGTTATAAATTCTCCTTTATCTACCAGAGCTGAACTTTTCACCCTTCTTTTTGCTTTAATTATTTGTTTTCAATTCTCTTCACCAACAATTTTCCTTGACAACCAAGCAGTTATTGATGGATACAATAATTTTTGTTTAAACAACATTTATACAATTAGAACTTATGAAAAAATACCTAATTATAATGTTTAAATTTTAATTACATACATTATCAATGAATTGTATCTCTCAGTCAAATTAATAAAAGTCAAAGAACACTCAGGAGATCACTACAATGATATAGCTGATGCTTTAGCAAAAGCTGAATACTCTATGCTACTTTTACTCATTAATTATACAACTTTTAAAGATTTACAACTCTTTTTTAACTTTAGACAGGTTCTTATAGAATCTTTAACTAGAAAATTCTAAAAACATATGAATACAACTAAGCAATTTTTAACTTTTATGAATCTAAACTGAATTCTACTTTAGCTTAGCATACTTATTCTTTTAACATTCATTGACCTACTTCTTTTTCTGTCTTTATATCAAATATGGATGATAATTCTACTACTACCTCTTTTGTTCAATAACGAAGAAAGGGTTTTAAATTAAAATCATTGATCAAAGAATTACTTACAATGAACAGACTTACAGTTAGACGTCCTGATCTATACAAGAACTGGTTATATATTTTCTGCAAATAATACAATGAAAATTACAATCATTTATGGAATTACCTTAATAGAATATAAAATGTCACTGACATTCATATATTAAATTATGATTTTCTCCATAAGATCATCATTGACAAAATTAGTTAAAATGATAATAGACTCAACATTTATCTCACTATAAAAGACAAGCTAATGGATTACTTGAACCCTTTACTTCATGATACTATCTGTATTTACTTGGCTAAAGGAATAATCCTAACAGTATGTTAATGCTGTTAAAGAAACTATTCTCTTTTCTAATGTTAGAAGCATTCTAGTAAATATTTTCAATTATTTTACCATAGCATTTTATGATAATATCTGGGTCCCAAGGTATAATAAAATGATTGAAGAAGAAAGAAAATTAGAAATTTCTAAAAGATTGAAAAAGAAAAAAGTTAAGATAAAACGTTTAATCTATTCAAAAATCTCTTAAAATCTTTCGATAAAATAGTCAAATTGGATGTTATTAGTAAAGAAATTTGGTTCCTCTTGGACATATTTCCTAGATGATACTGACAGTTTCATTTGAATGTCTTGTTGATGACTTAATCATTAGATATGGATCTTTTGATTTTTTCAGAGGGATATTCTGATGATTAATCAATCTAAACGGGTTTGTAATAGAATCACGGGAGATCATCTTAGTTTAATTTTTATTGTATTACTCTTAAATTAGTTTTTATTTCCTATTTTTATTTGTAATAATATAATATAAATATAATAAACTTAAGATAATATCACATCATAAAAAAAAAAAAACAGCTCTACAAGTTTAATTGGTATGGATTTGTAATTCAATTTTGTTTTTGTTTCTGGTGTGTTATCATATTGTGCAATAATAACAAAAATATTTGATATAAAGGAAATGATAACTCTGTATTATTTCCTTACTATGCATTACATTAATGATTATTTTTTGAAATATTTTACAAAGAATTGGCAGAAGGAACACTTACGTTTTAATTTTTTAAAGAGATTCATTAATAACCGAGTTTTGAATTACATATGAAAGGCGGTCAATAGAAAAGAGGGAAATCTACAAATTTTGAGTAATTTTAGTTATCAAGCTAGTTTTGTTCACATGACCATGATCAGCAAAGTGAGCCAATAAAAAATTTTTGACTAAAAGTGGATTTCCCCCTTTTCTACTGACCGCCCCCCACATTTGAAATCTAAACTGATTTTATACAAAGATATAACTTATATAAATTGTGGATATGCCTAAATAGAATTCCGTACGAATTAAATGTCATCTCCTTCAATAAATTTGCCGGCATTATATTTAAGCAATGAAGTAAACTATTCATGTAATTATTCTACTTTTAAATTACCTTTAATTTCTCGGTTTAAATTTATATTCCCTATTATACTTCCTTATTTCTTTAATCAAAAAAAAAGGGAAATATATGGGAGGTAAGCTATTAAAATCACGTTACGGATCATATGATTTACTATGTTTGTAAACTCGATTTTAATAGCAAACCTTCCATATTTTCGATGTTGATAATTTTTGTTTAAAATGGCCGAAACTTGCGGAATGACTTTTTGGTATGGTAAATTTGATTTGACTTTTTGTTATTATATCATTTCATCGGGCAAAAATGAATAATTTTTATAGATTACCAAATAAGTCGTCATATAAGAATGTTTGATAATAATTATAAAGGAAATTTTTTTCTAAAAAAATATTAACCAATCGCATTTTATTTTAAGTCGTATATTTTCTTAATTATTTTGTGGAGTTTTTATGATACCGTGTATTTTTCAAATTATTATACTAAAGATTCTTTTACCGCGGGCGTATATTTACCGGCTTTGAAAAATAATTAATATCTAATGCAATTTATATACAAAAAGCAACGCAGATTCATAACGTTCGTATTTAAGAAATCGTAATAATGCAACGTGGGTGTTCCGAATTGATTTTCGATATTCGAAAATGTATTTTCGAATATTTGAATTTTACTATTTACAATCAAATATTCGAATATTCTATTTTCAAATTTATTAGTTCAATTCAATTGATGTAATCAAAAAATTTCAGCTTCAGTACCGTAACTGCGCTACTTTACATTTATTTATTTAAATAACTAATTAATTAAGTATTTAAATTTTTATAGTGTCTAGTTAATATCTTACCTCACCTTTTTTTTAAATTAATTTTACACTTCATTTTGCAAAATTAGAAATGAATTTATATTTATACAAAATTTTAATATTACAATCATACTCAATTTTCATAACCTTCAAAAGCTTCAAGATTTCCATTCCAATATTTTAATAATCGTGAATTTTTTAATTTCAACCATCTATCCTTCATCAAATTTTCAAGCAAGATCTCTCTAACTACTCTAACCCCAAAATTTAAAGCTCCAACAATCCAAGTGAAATATACCGGTATGATCCCCTGCCCAATGGATATAATCTTCCAATCTCATCATAGATTCCATCAATTCTCCAAATTGAGCGGGTCCAAATTCTGCAAAGCCCCTCCGCCAGCGGTTTTATCATTCGGCCAATAAATTGCCTTATTATTTTCTTTGCTCGGAATCCATTCTTTGAGTGCTATAACTCCATGAAGTGTTACAATGTCTTTTAATGCAAGTTCAAACATTTCTTCCTTCCTCGCTGTATGGACCGTATATTGTCGCATCCTTTTCCCAAGTATAAGATGCTAAGAGATATTCGGTGGTATACCTTGGTAATATGAAGGATAAACTACTGTACGAACCGGAAGATCGGTCGATGAGGTACTACCGACAATTCCAGCACCGGAGGTCGTTGGCTGTCCATTTGTTTCCCAGAAGCGAGATTTGAATTGAAGATATATCTTTCCTGATGACGCATAATTCAATTCACGAATTGCACGTCGTTTGCCATATGATAAGCTATCAAAAGAAATTTTTGATTAGATGAATTTTTTTTATTCTTTACTAAAAAAAAAAAAATTCTACTTCGTAAAAGTTAAACCTTACTTGTAGTTAGATCCCAATGACGGACGACACCCAATGGAGGAGTGACAATCACCCTATCAAATACCTCGAATTATTTCTTACCTTTGGATTTCAAATACACCTTAACTTTTTCACCATTATTAGTCTTTTCTAATTTGTAAACTTTGCTGTTGTATCTTAGGTCCATCTTTTCCTTTTTGATTAAAGGTAAAAAGGCGTTTGAAATCGTTGCAATCCCTTATCAATAGTTTTCCAGGTTAGAGGATATTTAAGATTGTCAAGGTATAGATGCAATGGCCATATCAACAAAGCTCAAAAAAACTCGCCTAAAAATTAATAATAGACCATGGTTAGTATGAATGGAATGTCAAAAAAAAAGTTTTATTATTATTATTATAAAATCAAAGTAATTCATGCCTGTGCCCACTAATTACAATTCAATAACACTTATAATTTCATCATAAACTTCCGCCTTTTCATTCGGCAATCTTTCGGGAAGAAAGACTTGCCTTAGATAAGAATAGGTAGAATGTTCATCGTAACGTTTTAACATTTTAAGACCTTTTGTGAATTCGGTGTTTAACACGTCAAAGAAGGGCTGTAATGCTTCATTCCAAAGATGGATGGGATAGTATCAGGGTATCCTAGCTGACTGATGTCTATGGTCGCAGAGTAATTTTGGTCATCATGTTACCAGTATGATCTTTTTTTTTTGTTGAAATATTGTATGGCACTTTACATTGGATGTTTAAGATTCAATATCAATAGATCAAAAGATAACATTATGATAGAAAAATAATTAAAGAAAATTATCAACTACAAACTTTGAATCACTAAATATGAAGGGGATGGTGTGGATCTGTTTCTTTTGGTCATCCTTATTGTTCAGGCAATCACTCCTTCCTATTAAATTATTAATTTAATGAATAAATTAATTTTAAAGTTTTATTCTTTAAATATTATTGTATACTGATATAAAAAAATATAAAATATTTAAAATAAATATAATGATCTTTTATGTTTCTGTAACCCACTTAAGTTTTGTATTATTATTAAAGTTTACAACGTTGAGACATCGTGCTCGCAATTTCGATTGACACCTTCTTTTTCGACCGCCGGAAGGCATCGATTGAATGTCCAGCGTGCTGTCCCTATCAATTTTCTAAGTTTCAACCGCTCTTCTTGTGCAGGAAAGAGGATACGTTGTGTTTTGCCTGCTGGGGTCTTAGAATTCTTGATCTTCTTGGGCTTGGAGAGCTTCAGCGGTTGGCAGCTGAACGTATTCCATTATGTCTTGCCACAAATATTGTAACGATTGAGAGCAAGTCATTTGTAAGCTCTTCGGCTTCATAACTCTCGACACTAACATCTATACCGAATGCCATGAGCCGAGTCTCATTCTTCTCAAAGATCCATTCCACAAGCTCGGATCCGAAACGACACAATCGGTCCTAATAAAAAAATTAGTAATAATTATAGCAATAAAAATAAAACAAACAAAAATTAAACGCAACTTTTTGGGTAACCACCACTTCCTCGATTCTTCTTGCGTGTATTCGTTTCAGAAGGGCAACAATCTCCTGCAATACCAGTCGAGTTCTGAGCCGGTATCACTAACGATTTCATATTGTTGTCATTATACTTTCATTTAAGAGCGAGTAGAAATTTTTTTTTTTAGCTTTTATACATATATTGGTGGCTAGTTATGACGAAATATATAGACTCACAAGAAACAAAAGAATACGTACGGTCGACACATCGTGGGAAATACAATGCGTCAAAAGTTTTTTTAGTCTAAAAATCTAATTCAGTCATGTTTCGATAAAATTCTTTTAGAACTTTGTTGAAATCTCTTTAAGAAACAAGTAAATAAACTAGGATTTTAATTCTTTTAAAAAAAATAACTATTTGATTCCTCTTTTTCTAGTTTAGTCCTGAGAAAGTTTAAAACCTCTGATGTTTCAGCAAAAGCATCTGACGACAACAATCCTATCATTTCATTATGTAAATTTAGCCCTCCTGAGAACTAGCTTCTTCCCGAAATCGCCTAATGAACAATTTATTTGTACCGTGTTAGTGATAACCCGTTTGCGTCACTAAATGACTGCGCCAGTTAATGTCACCAATGATCACTAGGAAAATCGTGATTATCATTTTCACTAATTTCACTGCTATCACGGTTATCGTTGTGATATTTATTTTCTTTATTATTACGTTTATCATTATATCTTTATTATCATAGTTATATTTACTTTCACTATTATATTTATTATCTCTTTTTTATAATTATATTTTATATAAATATCCTGTATTGTCGCCTTGACAAAATAACAAGTTTCTATCGTACAATTAATAAAGTATAATCTTAACAACATAAAAACTATATCTTTGCCAATATCCATTTCCTTAAAACATAAATTATCAATAAAGACAACCTGACCCTTCAACTTAAATAAATTCGTGTTTATTTCTTTCATAGTTTACAACTTAAACTCCCTGTTAGCAAATAAGCTTTGTTATCCTAACGACGTAGTGTTTAGGCTTAACACCGCTATGATCATCAATCCATCGTTAAAATACCCTGAAAGTCACGTAATTACTGAATTATCCAATCAAATTTCACGAGCGAGTTAACATTAAATAAATAATTTTTTGTATTTTTTCGTGATCATATTTTCGTCCTATTAAGTACTTTTAATCGTCGTTACGGTTAAATTGCATTTCCGCTTACATAGCAAGTATCTGGATGTTTATTTAATAACCTTTATAAAAAAAATTAAATAAATATATGAAAAAAGTAATCGTTTAATGTTTTAAACCAAGTATATATAGTGGCGCGGCATTATTAACGGACTTTAACGTTAATATATAATAAATATATAAAAAAAGTTAATATTTGAAATGATAGAATGATATTAATTTTTGTTATTTAAATAAAAAGATCTTTACTAATTAAAATGTCAAAATCTCAAAATCGGTCGGTCAACCAAGCCTTTTATGACCGTGACCCTTAACATCTCTATACCCCAGTAATCGAAGCTTTGGTACCTCCTAAACTACGCAGGATTTCCTTAGTGACCTTCTCGAAGGTTCTTAGAAAACTTCCCAGTGGAACTTGACAAATGAAAAAAAAAACGAGATTTTACCTTTATTGGCTGAAAAAAAATTTATCGACATCACTTTGGTCAGTAACATATTTATGACAAAGATACACATCCGCATGATGCCTGACGCAAAAAATTGCGAAAAAATGAATGAAGCGAATAAAGTGAGGAAAACAAACTTTATGTATGACCCTCGTTTTTTCCCACCTTTTTCTCCATTAACATCGGAAATTAAAATATTTTTTTTTTGTTTTTATTGGATTTGAGCGTTTTATAACCTTTTTGTGCATATATATATATACAATCCTTTTTTATATATATATGTATATATATACTTATATATATAACATTTTTAATTTCGTTTTATAATTGATTTTTTTAACAATCATTTTACTACAAAATATAAAAGGTTCAAATAAAATTTTTTTATATCTTTATTTTTATTTTTATTTTTTTATGAAGAAAATAATTAATACTTATCTTAAGATGAACAATTTAAACTCGAATTTCAGGATTTATCAATAATTCTTAAGATAATAAAAAACTTCATAATAAGGTTTTAAGAGATCGTTAGCTGTAAAATTACAATTTCTTTATTTTGCATTAGCATAAAATTGACGGGACATATTTTACCGTTACAATTTAATGATTTTATGAACTTGTCATCGTTTTAATAATGAAATTATTTATCATGTTTAATTTAATTTTTCATGATAATATTGCGGATGATTACAGGTTACATTTGATATTGGAAGTAATTTTGCTTTGAAACTGAAAATTTTATATTTAATAATTTTATGAAAGTTTTTAAAATATGACAAAATTTTAATTTTAAGAATTGTAGTAGGTCATTTCTATCAAAGAAATCACGTGTATACTTATAAGTTAAGTTTTTATAGATTCAAAATTTAAACCATCATTTTCAATATCGTTTCGCTAAGAGGAATGCACATTACCTTTGACCTATTAACCTGATTTTTCTATCGTATCGTTAAGAGCGTTAATATACTGTTCAGAAACAGAAAACAAAAAAATAATTGTAAACAAATAGTAGCGTGCATAGTATTTCACTAACACCAATATCATACGAGTAATTCGCTGCGCAATTTTAAAGATTTTTCGGTGAATCAAAATGTTTAAATTTGATTGATAATGTAAAGGCAAATTTCGTTAAATTTCAAATTATAAGTTGAATAAAATTGTGTCAAAAATAAGGTATTATTTTTTGAAGATTCTCGGGTGTTCAACCCTAACAATTGTCGAAGGATATTAAAAAAACGTAACTCTCGAAATTATAAGATAAATTATAATGGTTACGCTGAAACGTAGGATCTAAAATGTTTCAAAGCAGTGCACCTTCGGTTATACAACGCAATGAGACTCTTTATTCAAGCAAATGAAATTTTAGATTATGAATAAAAAAAAAAAAAATTTGAGATATTTTCATTATTAACTTGCAATCACATGAATATCATAAAAAGAAAAGTGCGTTTCAATTAGACAATAGATTTTAATGAACCATATTGAGAATTTAAATTTTATATCAACTAATTTTATTAAGAAAAATTGGTAATATGTGAGTGGTTTGAATTTCCATCATTATAAAATAGCAAGGAACATACTGTACGTATATTTAAAAAATTTTCAAACCTATATACAATTATTTCAGAGAAATTAATTTTCTTGAAAAGCGCCTTTGTAATTATATCGACATGAAAATTTACTTATCGATTCTGAGATTTTTCAAATTCAAGTACGAAATCATTATTTAATACCCCCACCAATTTCTAAAAGAAGAACCAAGTCGTTTAATTCCATTTTTCAACTTATTTACAATAACTGAAGCATTTTCTAATAAGAAGAGAATGATATTTTCCTGGAAAATAATTTTACAATAAAATAACTAAATTCAGAAATTTTTTTTTAAAAAAAAATTATCTTATTATAATTCTTACCAGGTCAAAGTATCTCACAAATCGAACACACAAGAATTCCACACAGGAAAAATTATTGCCTCCGAATTTAGCTTTAATACCCTCCACAAAACTACCTGGAAGGATTCCATCCTTATGAAATCCTGTAG